GCCACTGCTGTAGTCTCTCTTCTTGATTATTTTCTTTCTCCTCCAACCACTGCTGTAGGCCCTCTTCTTGATTATTTTCTTTCTCCTCCAACCACTGCTGTAGTCCCTCTTCTTGTTTCTTTTCTCGTTCTTCTTGTTTTTTCTTTTTCCTCCAACAACTACTGTAATCCCTCTTCATGTTTCTTTTCTCGTTCTTCTTGTTTTTTTTCTTTTTCCTCCAACAACTACTGTAATCCCTCTTCTTGTTTCTTTTCTCGTTCTTCTTGTTTCTTTTTTTTCCTCCAACAACAGCTGTAATCCTTCTTCTTGTTTCTTTTCTCCTTCTCCTTCTTCTTGTTTCTGTTCTCGTTCTTCTTCTTTCTTTTGTTGTTCTTGTATTGCTGCCATCAAATCTGCTAAGCTGCAGTTTGATTTGTCACTTCTCGTTTCCATCTTTTTTTCTTCTTTTCTATCCCACTCCTGACACAAATTTGTTACGTCTTTGTTCGTTTGTTAATTTCTGGGATAAATTCTTCCGGGGAACTTCAGCAATACAAGTCCTTTCTTAAATAAAACTAGTCTATTCTTTGTCAATACAACTTTGCAATACACAGAATATACATCGTCACTTTAACTTAAACACACGCTATAATTCACAACGATTCACGCACTTTGCTTAGGGTCACTACCGCTCACTTGGCTCAATTACTTGTCTCTATATATATCTATCTGCAATTATTATCTCGCTTTACTTTCCAGGCTTATATATTAAGAAAGAGGGCGTCTAGAAAATACTGGGATATTCGTGAGTTCCCCCGATCCTTCTAGAAACTCATCACGTGCTATCAGATTTACGTGACTTCCGCTGTCGTAACAATATTTTTAGTTCTATACATACACGTACAAGTGTTTACAAAAGATAAAATAGTTATTTCGTCTCAATTCGCTTTATTGGGAAATTTCGTTGTCAAAGTATTTGGTGGCTGTGGCATAGTAAGTTTCGAGAACTTGACAATATAATATACATTGTTATGGAAGATAATATCGTCCTAAACTTGATATATCTCAATGATTCAAGCTTGATAGCTTATAGTATAACACTCAAATTTGCAGCTCGATTCATGCAGTGAGCTCAGCGCTGATAGCCCAATGTACAACTTGGTACTTTAAAATAAACACTGAAACATTCGTAGTCTCTTTAAATTATGAATTATTATTAGAGCAAGCTATACTAAGCTACATATTAACGCCATTTTAAATTTAACTGTCATAGATTAGTTTCTATAGGACTTATTTTATTTTTAGTGGAGAAGAAATATAACGTGTCATGTCTGAATGTTGGTTGTGGCACTATACTATCGTTTTTATTGTATTTTTGAGTTTTTTGTCGTGCTGTAAAGGTTACAAAACAGTCGTGTTGATTCATGGATTAAATGATAATGAGCATACGTTTGATTATCTGTCATCTTACATTAAAAAAGTGAGTGAAAAAGAAATTTAGGCCTAAGGTTAGGCTAATTGTAACTTGTAGTGGAGTTAGCCTCTCAGTTCACTGACCAAAGCTGCATCGTGGCCATGGCGAAATATTGTACAGATATGAATGAAATGTTTCTTTGAGTTTTTTTATTATTATTATTTATTTATCAGTGGTACCACTGTACACTATAAGTATAAGCCTTAAGTCAAAGGATTATGACAAAGAAGAGCTGTTTGTTTCAAAAAGAGTTCTTTTTGAAATTTAATAATGTCACAAAATTACAAATAACTAAGTAAAATTAAAAAGTAATATAGTTGCTAAAACTTGCAGTTGGACTTGGAGTAAAATTAAAAGTCTAAAACCTTTTAATGGTTTTAAGCAGATTAATCATATAGGGACTTATAGATTTAGAGACCAATGTGCACTTTCCAAATGTAGCATTGAAATTTTTAAATGAAAAACGTCGAAATGAAAATAATTTTTCCAAGTAAGCCTGTCAGTGTCAGCTTTAAAGTGGAACAATATGTCAATGAGCAATTCTTGTATGATTTACTGTAAAGAAAAACTGCCCATAAAGTAAAGCCAAAGGGGAAATATGACAACTTTGAAATTCAAAAGTTGATTAAAAACTAAAATATGAAAATAGCTGATATACTATGAAATCATGTAAAAAAATCAGTAGTAATAGTATACAAGTGAAATCAGGAGACTCATTGTATGTCATTGGGTTATGTTGCTGATCCATAGCTTCAGATAATAATAGTATGTTGACATCAACTATTCCTTCACACACCTTCACAGGAAAGAGAAATGAAAAAATTAAACTGATTTAATTTTTAGGAGAGAATTAGCCCCCCCCCCTCTCCTAAAACTCATAAGGCATTGGCCTTCATTACTACTGAATGTAACTCATTCTGTCAGTTAATCTCCTGGTTAGAAAAATAAAACTGCCCCAACTAGAGTTAGTAACCTCAATAGAACTTTACTAATTATGACCCCATTAATGTCATTAATGTTAAGTAGTGTCAAAAGTTAATATGTTTAAATAATTTCACACCAAAGGTTTATGAACTGATGATGATGAGTACTCATTTCATGGATATGTTTTGGAGTTGCTTCTAATAAATATATTTTACAATTGCATGAACAGTGTTTTGTGTTGTAGTAGAAACTTGTTTTTGCTTAAACTTATATGAACCTTATGTGTTTGATAATTGAAAAAAAAATGTTTGTGCTAGAGTTGCCTTCAGGAATTCTAGTTTTTACTTTTTGTGGTTATTTAAGTACTGACTTTGTTATTTCACAGAAACATCCTGGTACCAACACTACAAGCCTAGCATTACTAGATGGATGGGAAAGCTTTGCTCCTTTGTGGTTTCAGATTCACCATTATGGTCAGTGTTTTAAGAAAATTATGAAAGAGAACCCAGATGGTGTGAACTTGATTGGATATTCTCAAGGTATATATACATCTGATAGAATTTGGTGACACAAGCCGTGCACATGTGTTTACATATAACTACATCTTAAAAAGCAGAAACAAATTCATAGGCTAGTTTTAGTGCATATAAAGCTGGTACTTTGTATGGCTTTCACTGCCCATCTTTTATGCTATTATTTTTTTATCTTTATTTTCTTCATTGTATCTGTTGGTGACAAAATGGACAAGAAGTTTAACAAATGGACCTGAATATGTAGGGTATGGTAGATGTTTAAAATAGGCACTTTGATAATTCAAGTTTGAATTCTAGCAATTAAGAGGCCCAGAAATATGAGGTAGGGTTAATAATGCGTCTCTCATGCAAATCATCATATGTCAACCCTCCACCAATAAGAGTGCAATATACTCTCATGACACATGTTACTCCCTCTATTCAATTCTACCAAACTATCACTTCTTGTTTGGCAGTACTCGTGTTCAGACGTTTTTTCTTTTGGTGCTCTTGGTGTGAATTGGGATTTTAATAGTTTAATTTCTGAAGTGAGATTACTTCATTATTATTATTTTCTTTACATTAAAGAAATCTTTTAATTTAACTTAATTTCCCAGTCTAGTTTTTTTTCTTACAGTCACATATTTTACATAAAACATTTTTGTTTGACTTACATATTTCTGCAATGAATTCTAAGGCTCATGTTCCCACTTTGGGTGTTATACCTCTTGCATTGTTTTCACCTGCTGCAGTTGGGGGAGGCCTGGTGTTGCATTTCTCTGCCATTATCCATCATGAGATTGACCATTATATGGGTAAACCTTCTTCTCCTGAGCTTGCCCCACTAATCCTCCTGAACAAGCCAAACTGGGCCAATGAAGATTTGATAGCCTTTTTACACCACCAGATTTTGCTGTGTTTTTCCCTACCCCTCCTGCAGAATCAGCTAAGCCTAATACAGCCTTTTTCACAATTTCTCAGATATTTTAAGTTTTATCTAATTCCCCATTTTTCTATGATTCCTTATTACCTCAATGTTGGCTTATTTGTTGTCTCAGCCCCCTGTTTTACTCACATGGTTTCACTGTAATTGGATTTTTTAGGTCGTGATGCGATCTTGTCCTGAATATATTTTCCACTTATTTCTTTTCAGGATTTCTGTATATTTTATTTGACGATATGTTTTTATAATATATCTGAGACCTTGTAATCTTGTGTGTAATTTATGCGTCAACATCGACCCTCTCCTCTTTGGTTGCACGTTTTTCGCAGTTGGAGCCACGACACGCCCCTATTCCTTTCCCGTCCTGGTTCTTATTTACACATCTATGTCCCCCTCCTTTCAGGGGTTTCTCATTTTGTCATTTTATTCATTGTCAATGGGCATGTCACCAATGGTAATATAGTCAAGCTCCCACTGGACCTGTACCAACATTGTAATACTTGAAAATGGCTGACAAAGCCACTAGGGGGACATTCTGAGCTTTTGATTGGTTATTCACCTGTCATAGACAGAATTAAGTGTATATAAGGGAATGTTTCAGCAAATAGAAAATATATGAGGTTCTAATTTTATATTCTAGCTTGTTAATATTTGTAATTTGAGTTCCTAATTCGTATGAAACTATAGACCTAGTAATTTGACATCACAAACATCTAATTTGAACCAGTGTTGCATTCAGCATACTCCTTGACACACAAAAATCAAATATTTTGGTGTTTTTTTTATATTTACTTTTAAATTAAGAGATCAGATAAGGTATAATACTAAATTTTGAATTATAATCTAGAGTTTGATATCAAACTTATTGACATAAATTCATAAAATAGTGGTTCAATAAAGGTTTTGATTTGAATTAACAAATGTGATGACATGGCATTTGACCCATGGCCCATGAGGAAAGGGTTAAGAGGTTCTGCAAGAATTCTGTTCTTGTAATACATGTAAGGGCTAATGTTACAGGAAAGGTAAGGTCAGAAGATTGTCAGTAGTGTTGTCTAGAGCTGGGTGACATGATTGATTGATTGTCATGAAGCAGGCAAAATTATTCTTTCTGCTTATTGCTATTTCAAGTATTCCAACAGTAAATTAATTATAGTTATGACTAACTTGATTGCCATGAAAATACTCAACTAATTGAAACTATGGTTCTCAGTTACTAGTACTTTTTATTATTTGAACTATTTAAGTAATTGAAATATTGCAATTCTGTTCATTGTTAAGTGCAAAGATGCATGGTGGGGCTATCTGGGATCTGCCCAATTTTAGCTTTGTAACTTTTTTTTTTTAACTTCAAGACTGTTCAGTTTTACTTGTGTAAGGAAGCACATTATGCTAATATAATAATAAGTTGGCAAACAACTACTTATGTTCCTCTCAAAATAAATTTCTTTATTATGCTCATAAATCATTATTGGCCAACTTATTATTGCTCAGCTTTGTTGATTGGGGGAAGGGGGCTCATGATATGAGGGTCTCAGGTTAACTTTCCATTGCCACCAAACTTGCTTGCTCTGTCTTTGTTTTTTGTTTATTATTTGTATTTGGTCTTCATCAACTATTGACTAGACAGAAGATAACTGGCTGGTGGCACCTGACTTTTTTTAATTGTGTATACCTTTGTGTAATAACTAAATAATCAATTAGTAAATACCACTAATCACCCAATACTAGTAAAGTGTGGGGAAGAGATTTGAAATTTATCAATAGGATGAATTATAAGACTGAAGACTGTGTAATAAGAGAATGCTCAGTGGATGAAATGTTGAAGTCAACTGGAGAAAAGAAGTACTTTGGTCCATGAGCTACATTTGCTAGGATGAGAACTGTAAAAAGCAGTGATGACTATAAATTGTTATTAGATAATGGTGAGAGTGATATGAGCAATAGTGGGTGCAGAGGAAAAAGTAGGTTGGGAAGCTATTTGGTGGAGATGAAGGGATAATCAGTGCCATTGGTAGTTGAACCTATAGGAATTAGACGAGAGAGAAATAGTTTAGAACAAGTTAAAGATGATGTATAAAGAGTTAAAAGTTTTAAGAAGAGATTTAGGGATAGAATTATATGTTACTATAATATAAGCAGTATCAGGAATAAAATGGATGAATTCAGGGTTGTGGTTGGAATGGAGTATTTTTTAATATTATTGCAATAGCTGAAATATGGTTGTACTTAATAAACAATGTTCATGCAAATTATTTTGAAAATCCAGGTTTTAAGTTGTTTTAAAGGGTTTCAATAATGATAGGTTATTTAGAAGAGGTGGTGAAGTGGATCTCTATACACAGAATGAGTTACAGACTTTTGAAATGGAGGGTATCAACAGGAAAGTTGAATCTATATGGGTTTCATTTCGTGGATACAGGGGAAGGAGGTTAATAATAAGCAACTGTTATATACCATCAGACTAGATAGAGAAAATTAATGAGTAGCTATTGAATGAGATTATTGTTGCTTCTCATTTTAGATATTTTAATTTCAGGCATAATGATAACAGTTGGGAATATCTAGAGTTTAATGAGAGTGAGAGATTTCTGGAAGCAGCTGAAGGCTTTTTTTCACCAAATAATTATAGAACCAAATATGTTATATTGGTATTGTTAACATCTAATAAGGATATAGTTACTGGTGTTGAGGTTGGGAGAACACTTGAAGATGGTTGATAATCACTATGTAATTACATTTGATGATTTATTGCATGTCAACATCATAGATAATACAATTTTTATTACAAATATTCAGAAATTAGGATATCAAAAGAGATTAAAAAGAACATCTGGCTCGTAATCTTAGAATTAAGAATAATGATTTATTTATGTGTATCAATGGTAATCAGAATGTGAGAGTGGGAATTGGACCCGTTTGAAGAATTGTTTTTTTTGTTAATGACTGTGAGATAACTTAGTTTTAAATATTTTTCATCAGGGTGGATTTCTGACCTTGATAATGTTTGGAATAAGTGTTCTATATGGACATTAATCAGATGTTTATTAGAAAAACCATGTGAGTCTGAAAATAGATAAGGCTCCTGGGTTTTATAATCATCTTTACCTTAAAGTTTTAAAACAGGTTAAGCACCAAATTTCTGAGCTGCTTTTTTTCATTTTTGTTAGGTCATTGGACAGGTGACATATTGAAAATGGGATGTGGCTAATGTTCCAATATTTGAAGGGGGGAGACTAGCATTGTGTAGAGAATTTCAGGCCAGTTAGTCCTACTTTGGAGGTGGAGGTAGCTACAGAGTGCCTGAAAAAAAAAAAAAAGATATTTTGCTGGTCCATTTCTTGAACTTTAAAGTTTTGTCAGGTAACCAACATGACTTTATGAAAGGAAGGTCCTATATTACCAAATACAAAGGCATAATTCAAACAGAATAGAAGTTGAAATTGCCCCACTGGAATTTGTTTATTTTGGAAACAACACATACATAATATATATATAATGTGAAGTTTGTGCTATTTAATATTATTTTTGGATGGGTTTGAAAAGATAACAATCAAAGATGATGTGATTGAAGTATTCAAAATTATTAGTGGAATTGTTAAGATTATTATACTAGATTTTCTCCTGTTCAACTCTGAAGATGTTATTACAAGAGGTTATCATGATTTAAAATTTGGAAAGGTTAGATACATCTCTTTTTTTTCAAGAAGCTTTATTCCCCCTGTAGGGTAGTAAACTTGTGGAAACAATTACCTTTTACAGTGTTAGAGGTGCATCTTTAAATGAGTTTAAAAAGGGGGTTGAATCAAGGCTTAATTTAGTGATTAATTTTCTGTTTGTTGAGAGAGGTTGGAGAGACAAGACATTCTTGATGGCAAAAAACACCCCTTGATCTATATATATAAAAGTTAAATTGTATAAAATCATAAATAATATTCAACGTTAAACTGGTACACAATTAAAAACATTTTATTTAGGCCTATCTATTATATGTTTTTGTGTCTGCTAACTTCTCACACACTATTTGACTAATTGCTACCAAACTTGGCATGGTGATTCCTATGGTCCCCAGAAGTAACATGAAGAGGCAAAATTCCCATCGGGTTTCCTACAAAAACTGAATGATAATACACTACACTATTTTTCAACCAAACAGTTTTTAAACATTTTTTATCTCCTTTATTCTTTGTTGCTGTTGAAAACAAACAGCTCCCACATTAAAAATGTTTGTTTTCCAGGAGGCTTGGTGGGACGTGGCTTAATAATGTCTTTGGATAACCATAACATTCATAGTTTTATATCTTTGAGCTCTCCTCAGATGGGTCAATTTGGAGGTAAGATTATGTAACATTAGCTATGTTATTATCTGTAAGTAGGAAGTTAATTAGAAAATTACATCTTTTGTTATTTTTATATATTCAATAACTCTCAATTTCAACTTAGCAACTTGTTTTTTACCATCCACTATAGATGGGGTCTACATATTGCATCATATTGAGTAATTTTATGTCTTTTGCTTGCTTCAACATTCAATGTATGGTACTAAAGTAATCAATTGAATTAATTAAATCCCTCTTTTCTGTCTGTGTAAAGTACATAGGGGATTTTAGAAGTATTGCATGGAATTAATTGTAACATTGATATTTTTGTTTACATTATTTATAACTAATGTGTTATTAGGATCACTATAACCAACAAAATTTTGTACCCACAATTTGGTGAATAGTGTAAAAAATATGCTCAAAAAACCATTGTAGTTAATTTGGACACAACTGGTAATTATGGATGAAGAAAAATTTAATTTTCTAACTTAGGATATCATATTTAGCACATTAAGTTTACACAATCATTTCAAAATTCAGAATTTAAACAAAAAATAAATACTTCAAATACTGAAGTTTTTGTGCTAGAAAGAACATATATGCTTAAGAATATTAAGAAATATCAGTTGATTTCTTTACAAAATAAAACATTTAAATGTGTTTTAGGTTGTGCATTTACGAATAATTTTTTTTTCTAGATTCAGCCTTGTTTCACAAGTTTTTCCCCAAGTTGATCAAGGAATATGCATATAAGTACGCACGTTTATTTTATATTAATATCTTAACTACAATGTATAATATTATGCAATAGCTATAGTCATCAGACTTTTATAATTTAACAAATGATAAGCTAGAGATGTTAGTTTAACAAAGGCTAATCTCAAATTAGACATCTTAGCAATTCTCAAGCTTAGGTAATCAATTCAACAAATGCAGAGCTTGAAACAGTTTAACATATGCTGCATTTCATACACACACACACACACATGTAAATACAGATATTAAACGAGATAATTAAACAAATGATTAGCTTGAGATAGATTTGATTTGCCATAAACGTTTTATTAATGAACTATTACCTGGCTGCAAATTTGTATATTCTTTAAGATTCTTCTTCATTCATAAAGTTAAAATGCAACACTAAGATGGCAATAAAATAATCATCTCTATCATTTAACTAAGTGATTATAAGCAAAAGTCTTTCTCTCCTTCTCCAGCCATCATATTTACATTATAGTCCTATAGTTCATATTCCACATTATGAATTATCATAGTGACATTCCATCTAAACTTTTCATTTCACCACAGTTGAGATTTTGTTAAAATCAGCATATCAAACCAACTTTATATAGAATTATACACAGACTTTTCTCTACATTAAAATACTTTTATTTGCAAGCTTTCAGCCCTCTTACTGGAGCCTTCATCAGGCAACAGTGAACTGTGGAACGCTGCTTTAAAAATAGGTATCAAGACAACAGTTGTAACAACCGATATCAGTTTGTTGAAGGTGCCAGCATGCCTCACCTTCCACAGGCTATAAATCAGTTTGCTTACCATCAGGTTGACTGTCTGTTTCTCAATTCTCATCAGTTGGGGTCGATTTTACCTGTGTGTGGGGCAGTCCCTGATTTTCCTGTGCATTTATTTCATGTCCAATTTTCACACTTTTGTCTTACTCTTACTTCCCTTTTATGGTATTTATCTACTATCCATCTCCTTTTCAAGGTAATCTACAGATATCCTGAGGGTTTTTCGAGGGAGAGCCTCTCCCTAATTACCTCCACATTGGCATATTTTTCATCTTTAGCTCTCGCTTTACATACATGGTTTCTCTGTTGTTGAGATCTCCTGGGTAGAGATGTGGCCTTGTCTCAGATTTGTTTACTGCTTCTTTATTTCAGAGATTTATGTATGGCCCCTTTTCTTTGGTGGTATGTTTTGGTGATGTGCCTGAGACTTTGGTATCATGTGTGGAGTCAGTAGAGTCTTTGGTTGCACATTTATTGCAGTCGGAGCCAAGACAAGCCCCTATTCCTGTTTACTGTCCTAGTCCTTCTCATCTTTTACCTGTTTCTCCCTTCAGGGGTTCCTCATCTCGTCATTTTATTTGACATAAATGGTCATGTCGCCAACAGTACTGTTGACTACCTGGTGTGTTCCTATCCAGTGGGAGCTCACTTGTTCGAATTTGTTCCCCTTTGGCAATCTTTCACCACAGATCCGTTGGTTATTCAGGTTTTATCTGAGAGACTTTTTCTACAATTCCTTTCCCCTCCTCCTTTGTCTCAGTTACCCATTTCCTTCCCATTGCATCTGGATCCAATTACCAGTCAACGTCTGTCCGAGGTACAAGACTTTCTATCTCAACAGGCCATCAAACCTGTCCATCACCTTTCTCCAGGCTGTTTGTCATCCCCATGAAAACTGGAGACTGGTGGCCTGTGATAGATTTGTCCTGCCTCAATTATTTTCTGGTTCTACCCTACTTTACCATAGAGTCATTTCTCAGGTGGGCTTTTTCTCCAGGTTTGTAAATGACCGAGGTGGACGTTGCAAATGCTTATTTGCATATCCCAATATCTCATCAGTCGTGACACTATCTTCAGTTTGTTTACCATGGGGTGGTTTATCAGTTTTGCACACTGCCCTTTGGGCTTGCTTCAGCCCCATATGTTTTTTTTTCGAGTGGTCAAAGCATTTGCCCATCACTTACATGCTCAAGGGCTGTGCTTCCATCATTACATGAATGACTGGCTACTGTTAGCTTGTTCCAAGCAGAAGTCTTCCCATCACACTCATCGGCTGCTCCTGGAGGTGCTGGTTAATCAACTTAGAAAAGTCTGTCCTTTTGCCTATCCAATATCTTGTCTACTTTGGTGTTTTTTCAATGGGGCTTTCAGTTCTCCATGCCCTTACTGCTCCCTCTATTACAGCTCGCAAGGTTCTATCACTTTTTAAGATGTGGTCTTCCATGACAGCCCTTATCCCCTTAGGTTTTGCACATATATGGTCTCTTCAGTGGGCTCTTGGAATCAGTGGAATCTTGCATGGGATCTTTTTGAAGGCTACTATTTCTCTTTCTCCTTCCCTTGTTGGCAATCTACATTGGTGATTGGACAAGACTCAAATGTCAGTGGGTGTTCCGCTTCTTCCTCGTTGTCTGGATTTACACTTTCATTATTGCATCCCGTCAGGGCTGGGAGGTGTGGTTTGATCAACAGGAAGTTTCAGGACATTGATCTGCCACTGAGAGGTCTTATGATATAAACATCCTGGAGCTTCTGGCTGTATGTCATGCTTTGTTTCATTTTCTACATCTGGCCAAGAATGATCTGGTAATGATCCATTCTGACAATCCTACAGGGCCCGGCATGGCCAGGTGGTTAAGGCACTCGACTCGCAATCTGAGGGTTGCGGGTTCGAATCCCCGTCACACCAAACATGCTCGCCCTTTCAGCCATGGGGGCATTATAATGTGACGGTCAATCACACTATTCATTGGTAAAAGAGTAGCCCGAGAGTTGGCGATGGGTGGTGATGACTAGCTGCCTTCCCTCTAGTCTTACACTGTTAAATTAGGGATGGCTAGCGCAGATAGCCCTCATGTAGCTTTGCGCGAAATTCAAAAACAAACAAACAATCCTACAGTGGTTGCTTATCTCAGTCACCAAGGTGGCACCCATTGTCGATCCCTATGTTGTCATACTTTTGACCTTCTTTTGTAATATTCATATCATTCTGTGTCATGTTCCATGTGTTTTCAATCTTGTTGTGGATTGGCTTAACATTGAGACAAAATCTATCTGACAGAGTGGTTTCTTGATCCTCTTGTTTTTCAGTGGCTTTGCCTTTAGTAGGGTAATCCTCACCTCAATGCATTTGCCATGTTCCTCAACACCAAATTGCTTCTGTTTTGGCCTCTGGTTCCTCATCCTCTTGCCCTGGCTGTAGATGCTTTCAGTCAGGATTGGACCAACAAATACTTTATGTCTATCCTCCCATTCCCCTTCTTCACAGGGTGATTTCGATCATTCATGCCACTCAGTGTTAGGTCCTTCTGATTGGTCCTCACAGGCTGGCTCAACCATGGTTCCTGCAGCTATTCCAGCTCCAAACTACTGCTCCATTATTTCTTCCTCTTACTCCATCCCTTCTTCATCAACCTTGGTGACCAGTGTTTCATCCTGTCCTTCCCATTCTTCATGCCTGGTTTTTATCCTATCCTTGGTGAGAAGATCTGGTTTGTCCTGATGGGTAGCTTCTTTTCTAGCTAGTTCCATTCGCTCTTCTTTTAGGGAGGTGTATCAATGTAAGTGGAACGTTTTCCACTGTTGGTCTTTGGGTCAGGGGTCGAGATTTTTGATCAGGGGTCTTCTGTTTCCTTGATCTCATTTTATCAGGCTGCTTTGTCCCACACTCTTCATTTTTCCTAGTTTTGTAGAGTGTTTACCTCTCCTACTCTTTCCCTATTGATGTGTTCCTTCTGGATTCGTCATCCACCTTGGTGGGCTTTCCTTCACTGTCTCACCTTTCCTCCAATCAAACCACTGTCGTTGTTTCATCTCTCTCTTAAGACTTATTTCCTTCTCTTCTTAACTTGATGTTGGAGGTTAGATTTATTTGCCATCAACATTTCACATACTCTTTATCATTCCAAATATATTATTCTTTATCTGGATCATCTTTCCTCCCATAAACTTCAGCAGCTCAAGATGGTAACTCCTCCTTTTCGTCAATTTTACCCTTCCTTCCATTTCCCAGCTTTATTCTTGGTCTGATCCAGATAGACTACTGTGCCCTGTATGTGCTCTTTGCTTTTATATTGCCTGCATGGCTTCCTTTCATGGTATCCAATTCCACCTCTTTATTCCTTTATTTATATCTGTTCGTGATCTTTCTCCTTCCACCCTCACCAATTGAGTTCGGGTTTTAATTCAGTTGGCTTATTCTTCTTTATCATCTGTACTTTTTTTCGGGTGTCTTCTCATCAAATCAGACACCTTACCTATTCATTGAAATCTCATCTTTGTCATCCCTTGAGGAAATTCTTCAGTCAGGCATATGGACTACTTCTCATATGCTCATATATATACCACTTTAAAGTTCCAAAGTGTTTGGGTGGTGGACTGTGGAGGCATCCTCCTGAATGTGTTAATAAAATACAAATAATATATATATATATATATATACTAGCTGTACCCGGCCACACGTTACTGTGGCTCAGTCTGGTTAAATGGAAAAGAAAGAAGAGAGAAAGCGCACGTTTCTAATATTTTTAATTTCACAATGCTTGTGGGTATACAATATTTTTTGTTGTTCCATTGTCTGTGCAGACATAGAGATTGTCTGGTTTGCCGACTCTAGAACACGCAACATATAATTGTCCATGTGAGAAGCAATCCGTGTCTAGAACTAAACTGCACAATTCTAAAGATTGGCCCTGAGCTTTGTTGATGGTGATTGCAAATGCCAATCGAATTGGGAATTGCAATCTCTTAAATTGGCATATCCGTTGGAATCATAGGAATACGAGGAATGAGGACATCTTCACCTTTGAAAGGTCCTGTCAAGATTGTTGCTTCTACGACGCTGCTCATTAATTTTTTTGCTGCAAGCCGTTGCAAAGCTTTGGCTGGTTGATATTTCGCAACATGATAATTGGCACGCCGATTTTCAATTGCAGTACGTGCGGTGGCATCCCTGGCAGATCGAGTGAATTCAAAAATTCTGTTGGATAATTAACCGCTTCA